TCAAGCCATTAATGAAATATTACCCTTCAAGTCCTCAATCTCTCAATATAATAAATTTCAGTTGTTGAGCCCTTTTGTTTTTGCAACCCATGTATTCTTTTGTTCAATTCAAGTTCTTCACTTTTCAAAGTATAAAATTTGATCTCTGAACTTTGCTTCCAATAGCCAATTTAGTCCTTCTACTTTGGATTTTGTCATTTTACGCTCTTTTTTACTTCATTCCTTCAATTCCTTTTCATTCATAAAATTTCACCTATTAAACATAAAATGCAAAAATTTAAAATATAATTTGTCATAAGAACCATCAAATATCGTTATTTAAGGTTCCGAATAAGTGTATAAAATACACTTATCATTTAACAAACAATCACCATCAAAAAAAATTAAGTGAAAACAGTTATTTTTCTCTCTAAATAAAATTCAGGACCCTTTTCAACCGTATTTTCTACACTTGTCCAGCCTGCCTTCTCCCTTAAAGACACAACGACAGTGCAGAAGGTGCATTGGGAGAACGTCTAGAAGAGACCAGCAGTCAACTCAATATTCCCCAACCTAGCATACGAACGTATTCTATCCATATTCTCTGTGAGAGATTAAGAGATCTAAAAATGCCGGGGTTTTGGACTTTGCAGATAGGCATTTGTCTTTTGAATACTTAGATACAGGTTGGCGAGGGAGATTTTCTTTTCTTTTTATGGTTGCTTTTGGTTTATTCGAATGTGAGGGTAAATCGCCTTTTCACCCCCTCTTAACACTTGTTTTGACAGCAATAGTCTGAAAGAAACTCTTTGCTACAAAAATTGAAGGTCGAGGAATGTGGCTGCAATTTTTCCTTACTGTAAACGTATTGATAATTGATGTTTGGCACTTTATTTTTTCTTTTTCAAATTTCTCAGAGTTCTTTTTTGATTCTAGACTATTGTAAAAATGAGAGTTCCAGACATGAAATATTTAAAATTGTGGTAGACTTCAAATAAGCTAACCGAATCAACTTAGATGAATGAGAAATATGGAATTCATGGCTAGTTTGCACATTGATATCATAGAGCACATCAAAGCTTAGAGTGAGATATGCAACTTTAGGTAAAATGTATGATTAAACAGGGGACTAGGAGGAATCATCCGCTGTTACTTCTATCTGACCTTGGTACGAACGCAATTGGTATCTCCTAATGTCAGCTTCTAAGAATCTTTTCTTTTTCTTTTTTTTTTTTTTTTTGGGGGGGGGGGG